TGGGCATTTACTAGGTTTATATTGAGCTGGTCTGCGGCAACTGCTGGTTCGTAGCATGCAATTACTTGTTTTAAGCTTTAATCGATTAGCAGAGCTTGAAATAGCACCCAGAAATCGCAGTTCCCAAGAACTGTCTGTCTTAAAAGATACACCAGCCTCCTGACTGATCCAGAAACTCATCTTTGTCCCCTTCCCCACCAAATGTATCACGGCAGCATGGGGAGTCTTTTGTCAAACTCGCATGAGGAATGCTGCACTTGGAGAAGAAATCTTCCTCAAGCCATCCTCGCAATAGGAACAAGACAGCACAACGTTCAGTTCTTAGGTGTTGTGGCTGAGTTCCTATCTTGGTGTGAGTAGGAAGGCTGGAAAGGCTGTGGGGCACTGTGGGGTGCAGGGAAGGGGAGCAAACCCAATGAACCTTGGCTGCTGACTGCTGGGATGCCTCTGCTGAAACCGCCTTGAACTTCAGGAAATTTTCCCCTACAATGTAGTTATATTGATGGTTTTATGCCAAGGAGAAGTATTTCCTGTGGGCAAGAGGTTTAGATTATTGGCTTTGTAGAGGGGAATGGGATGAAGGTGGCAATAAGAAGGGATCAGCCACTTGTTTATTTGGTTGGTTATTGCCAGGCTGGATGCTTTGGAAACCTTCAGGGCCTTTCATCTCCCCTTCCTCCCCCTTTTAACATGGCTTTTCATCTAAGCTTAGAAATTCAGAGATGTCAGTGCTTCCACGACAGCCACTGCAGCTCCCTTCCCACCACTGCTCTGGAAGTTTACAAATCAGGTTTCCTCTCTCATAAGGCCAAGAATCAGTTTCCAGGACAGAGTACTGGTGGTTTTTCTCCAATCATCATATTGTTTGGCAGGAGAACGCACCATTTGAATCTGCTCTGGAGTGGACAGCGATGAAAAGTCTGGGTTTTTAAAAATCATGTTAAAACTTCGATGTGCATCAGAATGGAAGTTTAATGTTCTTTTTATTAACTACATACTGCTTTGAGCAAAGCTTTTTATTAGGATTTGAGTGGCAGGTTTGGACCTGACAGAAGTTAAAATGCAAAAACAGCATCTACAAGCAGAGTTGTGTTCATCCAGGGCTTTAAGCAAGACATTCTTCACAGTTAGTGCTTCTGATTTTGGGAAGTAGACAGTAACCCTTCGAGTCTACACAGAAACAGGATGAGGGAGCCTATGAAAATATTAAGGCAGTATAAAAAGAGATGCATCTAAATGCAGAGAATTCAGTTATTAGGTTGTATTTTTCAAACCTCCTCAGATATACTGCGGTCCCTTGGAATCATTGTGAAATGGAAATGGAGAACAGAAGGCACATGTAGGGTCCTTCAAAGCCTCTGTAACAATTACATCTAAGAGCTATGGCTTCACAACGCTTGCTGTCGTACAGCTCTGTTCAAATGAAAACAGCCCAGCCCCTGGTGTCTAACTGAGTCCTAAAGCCCAAAGCCACCAGCAGCAATGAAACCATTTCCAGGGGAAAACCACTGCTCAGCTAGACAAGCCTTGCAGCTGGTTTGCTGCACCTCCACTTCCATACAAATGGGCACCCGGATTTCAATGTGAATATGTTGGGGGCTTTCGTAGGAGCCACCAGTGCCAATTTAAACACTCTGAAATCACCTGTCCTTCTGTGAGGAGCCAGCCTCTGTTCCCATGGAAACAGAAACAGCAGCCTCTGAGCATCCGCCTGGATCAGTCACTGCTCCTCTGAACTCATCTGCAGCTGCTGGCTGAAAGCTGGTTCAATGTTCTTCAGACCCTGAGACCCGTTCTGAAACACACTCCCTTTGCTTCTCTCAGAAGGAGCTATTTGAACATCCTCCCAAAAGCACTGTTCCACAGTGCAAGGCAGTCCTGCTGGCATTTTGCTTCAGCAGAATTGACAACTCACGTCAAGATTAATTGCATAGACTATGCTCTTCTCTCGTGTTTTACAGCAGCTTCCAACTGAAAGGCTTTCACTGAAAGCTAGACCCAGTCCCTGATGTTTTACCAAAGAGAAAGATAACCACAGTCTTTGCCATAATTATGGAGAACATGAATAGATTTCCTCTAAAATCATGATGCTATTCTGTACATACTAAAATTCCTGTTCCTATCACAGAAATGCAGGGTCATTTTGTGCTTGGTACATGTTTGAACCTGGTTAGTTCCCATCCTTACCCCTGAAGGTGTTTCAAAGACAAAAATAGGAGAAGAGAAACTGTGGGCAAGCACAACCTCACAGGTGGCTTGATTAACACGAGCAGTATCTGGTAGCTCTTTGGAGAGAAGTATATCCACTTTGTGAGAGGGAAAATGAAAAGATTTGGATGTCTGTCTCCCCTTCTCGCCATAACTTCAGGTACCTGCAGAAAGATGGTTCTTATTTGTCTGACATCTTTTGCACGTTTTACCAATGTACTGGCTTTCTCCATTCCATCAATTCAAAGGAAATCACTACCCATTTGCAAGTACTGCATATTCATTAGCCAAGCAGGCAACGCCTGCAGTGCTGAAGAGGTTTCCACTTCTCAGAAAGGACTCTTTAAACACTACAGTGCTGGAAAGCATGTTCACAGAAATATTACACAGAAGTTCAGGATCTGCTTTGCAAAGAAATGCTTTTGCCTGACAGAGCTTGCAGGGGGTATGCACACAGGCAATGGCTGCTCAGGGTGGCATTTCGGGTAGAGCAAAAGCAGCAAAGACACTGCTATTCTGGTGAAAAATCATGGCAGTTACTGGCTCTCAACCCACTGGACCTTTGTCCAAAACATACCACCTCCATCAGGTCTGCATCTGCACTAAATACCCCTGCTTCTGTAATACAGTGCATTGGTTAGCACCATGGGAGGCAACAGCTTAGATTCCTTCAGCACGTTTTAGCACATATTCTGCGTATTTGTTCACTTCGAAACATCAGCAATTGTTTTCTAATCCTTCTTCAGAATGGAAATGCAAAATAAGCAAATCCACAGTGAACATCTGAGAGATCTTTCCAAAAAGCTGTATAAGGCAAAACTTTTCTAGATAAATGATGTGCATGTTTATTATTGGGAACAGAACTGTTACAGTGCAGTTGGTTTAATTTGGAGCCTGGAGAAGAGAAGGCTCCTTAAGGGGAGACCTTGGAGCAGCTCCAGGGCCTAAAGGGGCTCCAGGAAACCTGGAGAGGGGCTTTGGACAAGGGCCTGTAGAGACACGCACTTTTCACAAGAAGAAAAGTCACGCTGTTCACAGGGACGTGTACCAACGTCTGAATGAAGGCGTAAGGAAATACTTAATCATGGAGAACATTATTTTACCAGCCCCGCTGATGTCTCAAAGCAAAAGGAAAAGTTGAAAAAACAATCCACAAGGAATCCACTATACATAAAGAAAAAGTTGAATTGTTTTGAGAAAGCCAGCAATAAACCTTTCTTTCGGTAGTAACGGCAGTGGGAAACCAAGACTGAGCAGTGTTAAAGCTCAGGCACGAGCGCTTACCTAGCTCCAGTGGGATTCAGCTGATGGCTAGTTCTGGCATTCCAGGTTTGCAAAAACCCACAAATGTTACAAATGCTTTTCCAGTTCCATGTTCTTGTTTCTAGCTGTTGAGGTAGGAGGACGGAGCAAAGTATCACAGTGTGTGTTTTCTCAAAGAGGTGGAGGATTACAGTGCTAAACGAGACTAACCAGTGAGTTTGTCTGGACTGTGTAAATTAATCATAGAATCATATGGTTCTTTTCAACCCAAACCATTCTATGATTCTATTGAGCTCTGGACCATACACATGCTGTATTCTACTAGTCCTGCTGTACCTCTTCTTCTCCTCCACCACAATCCAGCAAATGACTTGGAGTCTAGTCAAAAAGCCCAGGGCAGTAGCACCCTCCCAAAGGCGGCTTCTTCTTGTTTTGAAGTTGAACTTTCAAGCTGATGACGACACTTTTAATACTGAGTGCGAAGCTGAATCTGTCATCAAGACTTGTTTCAAAGTGCCACAAGGAATGATGATGAGTGGGCAACTTTGGGTATATTTTAAACCAACGAAGATGACAAACACTGCTTTAATATTCCTGGGCCCACTGCATTTAATTAGACCTTACTTGTTTTAAGATCAGATCCCACTACCACCACGGCAGTAGTTGTATTCACATTCCCAGGAACTGCAGTAAACAAATCTGGGTAGAAAAAACAACCCTGACCACTAAAACTGAAAGATCCTTTTGAATTTCTATCACTGTGATATCTAAAAGAAATACAGCAAAAGCCTATGGAGTTCTGTTCTGACTCAAAATTGCTAGCTTTGTAACGGGGAGACTTCAACACCTACGTCAGAAGGGATTTCCTGCTTGTCCTGAGAATAACGAAGAGATGGTATAGTGGGAAAAAAGCAAGGCAGAACTAGTTACTTTTACTCACTAGAAAGTGAGTTGGGAGGAAGTATAACATTAGCCAAGAAGAACACTGCAGGAGCATTACAGGAATGAGTTATCTAGGAATTCAAAACGCCTAATGTGCTCAGTGTGAGCTGGGCTGAGAGGCTCCGTCTGTGTTTAGAACACTCGGCTCATTTCTGTGACTACCTAGGAGATAAAAAGCAAATCTCTGTTCTTTCCTAAACTGAAGCTGTCGTGCCATTAACCTTTCAGCCTATTTCAAATAATAACATAATGGGACAGCACTCACTTTTATGAATGGTAATTGTGGAGCTTTCAACCAAAGTTAACTTTAGAGGTTACCGCTAGAAATATGCAATGCCTTGATGCTTTCAAGTGCCATATATTGCAAATTAAAACAAAACCAACTGCTTTTGCAAACTTGTCCAGAAAATGCTAAATGCACACCTTGCTTGTTTTGAATCTTCTTTAGCATCTGGAGAAGGTGACATGTCTTTTGTTTATGAAAGCTCCGTATGTTGCCATTGTATATTACATACATACATTGTTCACATTTCAAGGAGTTGCTTTGGGTGACCAGGAAATAACAAATGGACAAATCACAGAAAGACAGAATATTTTAAGTTTTAATCCAACAAACGAAGAGGGTTTTAACACTGTAAAATACCACTGTATTGCTAAGGCTGTAAATTGTACATCAAACCCAATTAATGTCTATAGATGTAAAAATAGCAAGTTTTATGATACAATAAAACACAGTATAGAAACCACTGAAAATCAAGTAGAAACCTCTTAAAACAATTGAGGCATTAATCTATGTGTTTCTCCAAAGGTATTAAGTAAAACACAGTTAATACTGTCTCTAAAGATCCTCCCATCTTCCCCACTCTCCGCCCGAATTAAACTGGTTAGAAAACATAGTAGTCACTCAGTTACCGGTTTGCATTCTGTCAGAATCATTTAGAATCTCCATTTCTTTCAAGTACAGTAGAACAACTCTTCACAACACAGGACTACCTCTGAAGTAACTTATTTCCCAACGCTGTGTAATTCTGCAAGTAAGTATTTCAGATGAATGCTGAAGGCTAGAAAAGGCCCAAGGAAATCTGCAGGAGGGCAATTAAATTTTGAATGCAAATTATTTACACAAACATTAGTGTACTGTAATTACAGCGTAAAACTTGCAACATAGCTGATGGGTGCTTTTAACAAAAGCTCCAAATGAAACAAAGGAAAGAAAAACAGATTACAAAATAAATACTCTAAAGTTCTTCATGGTAGAAACGTTCATCATGAAGCTGCCTACCATAATCCGTTGCTTCACTGTTAAGAAACAAATCTTGGTTCTTAAGAATTTCTGCTTCAGAAAGCTTTTTATCATCATTCAAATCCATTTCTTCAATAAGGTGAAGAGCCTTTAAAATAAATGGAATACCATGTGCACAGTTAACAGAGGTGAGCACTTACAAATAATGCTTTCAGAATGGCTTTGTCCAAGTCCTGCCACAGCACCATTACTTGGAACAAGCTAGACAAGGGTTTGCATGCAGAACAGAGCTTTTCTTTCCTCCGTTTGTTTCCCTTTCCCTCTTTGATTTAAGGTTAAGTTGCGGGCACACTTGCTTTCAGCTCTGGAGGTGTCTGCTGCACTGAGCCATCTTTTATCTCCTGAACCCATGGAGCCCCACTTTCCCATCACATGTGCATATAGAGATCTGCAGCTGGATATTCTCTGTTTATGATTTGCAAAAAATGCCCCACCGCTATAATCCATGATGGAAATTTAACTGGGAAGTATTTGATGGCTACCTTCAACAGTGGACAAGCTAAGCCAACTATGCATAGGATCTTAAGCTTTGGGTAGCAAAAAAGGGGGGGGAGTTAGCAGTAAAACAAAAAAACCCAATTCCAGCATAATTTACTTGTAGTTTATTGACAAGTACTACATAGCTCAAAGCTAACAAGCCAGGACAGCAGCTATTGTGCCTATTATTTCTGAGAAATAGAGGAGTCCTAGCATTACATGGGATTAATTTTATTTGCCAGACATCTACGAATACAAGGATTTAGAGAATCCTTCCGTTCCTACATTTTCTGATTGGTTTGGCTCAATGTAAGTGCTTAGTGACTTTTTTAAAACATTAAATATTACTTACATTTAAGCTGACTACATCACCAAAAAGCACTGAAGGAAATAACTGGGACTAACGTCAGCCAAGCAGATTCTAAAAGCACTCTGCATGGCGAAAGCTAAAAGATTATTAAGACAAACATCCTGGTAAACACATATCCATTCCTGGAAATGGAATGTATAATCATTTTTCTATTTTTATGTTATTTAGCTACCAGGTTTCTCAAATCATTTTGAAATGCCAAAATGGCACTGCAATATTCAGCTTATGATTTAAATCAATGCTGCCTCTTTATGATAGGTGACTTCACTAAGCCCGTATATTAACTGAAGAGAGGAAAAAAAAGCACATTACAGAAACAAAAGACTTCTTGCAGAACCAAGCTATTCCTACAGAACAGCCTTGCTGTAAGCTAACATCTGAATGAATAGGGAACTGGTGAAAAAGAAACCCCAAATGGCCAAGCAAACCAATACAGGTATGACCAGACTTGAGACCAGGCAGAATTCATGTCAGTTACAACAGCACTGTTCCTGTGAAATAAGAACCACGCACCCTCAAGAGTCAGATGTTAAAAAAAGCAAAGGCTTAAGATTCCCATTAACAAAAATACCACCAGAGCGCTCTAACAGCTTAACCTCCTGCAAGGGCAGACACGGGAGAGCCTGCGCTGCTGCTCGCCACACTGCTTTTTCTGTCACCAAGAGCTGAGACTGGAAGAGCTGGGGCCTGAACAATGAGATGGTCCAACACAGCAGATGGGCTATGCTGTGCAACACCAAGCGTCTCCTGACTCTAGCAGGCATGGGAAGACCTATTGTTCCTGCCATTCTAACACTAAAATCCCCCAGTGCAAAGGAAAGAGACTCAGACAAATTCAAATTCAAAGTTATTAGGGGAAAGGTAGAAATCCCCTCTACTTCAGTCAGCGACTGTGAAGTCTGCTCATTAAAAGAGGTTGTTCTGGAGCACTCAGTGCTTCTACTGCCTGCGACAACAAAATAAAGACAGCTAAAATGAGAATCCACTTCTCCCTATTATTCCTTCTACCCCTGATTAAACCATTTTAATCATCATCATCAGAGTTTGCGTTACGGCATCTTGAATCACAGAATACTTCCATTTTCTTGTACTTACGAAATACAAGCTTTTAGTTCTACAAATTATGGTGATTTATCCAGTTAGAAGAATCACAATCAATTTTTATTTTCAAAAGGATGCTGTCAGTAGGTAACAGCTGCTTTTAGTTGTGTATCTCCTTAGATTTACCTACAATTACCACAAAATAACAGACTAAAATACTGCACCCTTAAGTCAAACCAGATAAGCTGTTTAAACAGGTAGAAAAGTACTTTGTTAATTTACATTCATATAATTAATAGGAACTTCAAATTTGCCTAATGCAGTTAAAGGATGTGCATTCTTTGTCAGACTGAAAGAAGGTTAAAAATATATACAAAGATGTACCTTCAACTATTAAGACATGATACATCTAAATGCATCTATCATTTTGTGGTGATACATTCATAATTCTCCTGCATTAATTAAAATCGAAACAGCAGTCAAAACACATACCTCCTCTTGGGCAATACCCTGATTATTAGGCACTATCCAAGACAACAGCTCTTGAGGGTCAAGTTTTCCATCATTATCCTTGTCATAGTCATTCACAAACCGATCCTTCTCCACAAGTATCCATTCTGGATCTTCCCTTGCAGCTAGTAAGACACATTTGTCAAGTTTAAAGCCACTCTTTACCTAAAAGCAGATGTTTTCACTTTTTCTCATAGCAAATTCAGTTAATCTCACAAAACATAAAAGTGATTTCAGGAAATAAAGCCAAGCCTTACAGACCAGTCCCAAGAGATTAAATAAATGCAACTGCCTACATATGAAAAAACATGCTTGTATACAATAAAAAAGAATTTAAAGCTAAGGCAATATCAACATTATAAATTTACAATTGAACCGAGCAGATATTAAAGTCAAGGTTTATGATAAACTGAACTGTTTATCTTGGTATCTCCACATTTACCCAGATTGATAATGGAGAAAGCATACTTTATACTGGATGTGCTGCCACGGAGATGGTTTCCTACTTATTGTGACATCTGATGCATCAGTAGGAAGAAGTTCAGGTAGATGACAGAGATATCTTACATTTGCAGTATTTACCCTGACTGAGTTAAGATTACTCTCTCCCATGAACACGCAGCAATCATGTTGCAGGTGCCACATTGAGAGTATCACACAGCAGCAATGTGCTGTGAGCAGTACCACAGGCCACAGATATTGGTCATCTTGGCTCCTAACAGATGGAGGAAAGTAGGAAAAGGCTTTACATCAACAAGTGTCCCAAGAAGTTGGTGGATAGTGTTTGGCAGGATTTTGTGGCCTTATGAAATTTTAAGACCATATAGAGTTTTTAATAACATTCTACTGCCTGTTCCCCTGCTTTAATATCAAGGGAAGTCCATCTGCACCACGTAAAAGGAGGCAAAGCTCTTGTTCAGCTCAGGCTCAAGTCAATACTGCAGGCTTTCAAATTAGTTTACTGTCTCATTTTTGTTTGTTTTCTAAAATATTTGGAATATACCCAAAGCAATTTCATTCACTGTTGTTCTTGATTTGTATACTTGGTTTATACTTACCCTATGCACTGGTATTGCATCCTGCAACCTAGCCAGCAATCTTAAACTTGTCTCTAACTCTTTGAGAAATTTAGAAGTAATTCATCAAACTGATAACCACTGCAGACAAGCAAGAACAGGTATTAAGACTTCCTAAACCTTATTCAAGTCCAAAGTAGTTGGCATCACAAGCAGATAAATAACAGTTCAAACATAATTAGGTTTCTGTTATAAGAGAACAACAAGAGTGAAGTCTCTCTCCTTCCTTTCTAATATTTGGTTTTGCAAGTAGATTATCCCTTAATGTCACAATTCACCATACACTGTTGCCCAAAGCCACAAGACAGTTATGAAACCAGACCCACCATGTAGTTTATTAAGTTATTTTAAGGTGCACTGCAGGAACACTGTCTGCCAGAGAGATGGCTGTTAGGAGAAGAGTTCAAGTAGTTTCTACAGTTACAGCCGTTTCTGAATTCTTGCTAAAATGTGTTAATGACAATGCTGTCACCTTCTCTCTTACCGCAAGGGCCCTAGCAACAATTTCACTCCTTTCCAACTACTTGAAAAGCTTTTTTCAAGTCAGAGCAGGAAAAAAGATAAAAGAACCCCGTAGCTGCATCAGAGAGCTATTGTTTTTATTGGCTCTGGCAACTAAAGACAGTTACAAAAGGTGAAATTCCAGGGCTCACTGGAGTGAACAGAAACTGACTATTCCCCTATTTCTCCATATCCTCAGGTGGCTCAAACATTTTCCCCAGTTGGGATGTTAGTCCACACTCAGGAATTATCTCTCCTTAGGACCAAGCAGACTTTCCACATGCCTAAGGCTACTGGTGTTTTTGGAACTGAAGGAGTTACTTGCCCTATCTATTAGCAAATCAAATACAATATAGAAAATATATCTATTAGCAATATAGGTGAACTGTTGATTAACACCAGGTAAGTGTCCTTTTTCTTGTTAAAGAAGGAACAGATCAAGTTTTAGGAAGGGCAAGAGTGAGGACAAAAAGTGAAAGCAGAGAGGCTTCTGGTATCTGGTCCAGTGAACGGGCTCCTTACGCTTCCCCTCCACCTCTCTTAAAACACAGCTTCAGTCCTTCGGCAGCAAGGCTTACAGCTGCCTTCTCAAGCTGATAAAGACCAGGGAAATTTAACCTTACATTTCTGCTGGCTGGTTTCACAGATGTGTTCAGTTAGAAAAACCATGTCTCCAGCTGCATACCTAGTGATGAGGAATGTGCTTTCAGTTACACGAAGTAACTTGCAAGGAAAAGAGTGGAATGGGCTATATGCAAACTACTGCCAAACACATACAGGGCAAAGTGAAATACTGAGCCACTGTGCCCAGTTCCAGGAAACTGAATTATTCTAAAAGACAGGATAATGTTACTCAGAATCTGCAGGTGGAGACAGAAAAAGCTGAAAATAAAGGTGCATGCAATTCACCCCATTCCAACAGCATTTGTTAGTTCCTTCTTTCGTGCCCCCCCGCCTTTTTCCTTACTTGGGTCTCTTCTGTAATCACCAAGGAATTCTTCCAGGCTAACAAATCCGTCACCATCTTTATCATGTTCTTCTAAAGCCTCCTGAATAACAAAGTCCTTTTGTGTACGTAGGAAAAGCAAAATAATCAATGTCAAAAATTAGCAACTTGTAATCAACAGAAATAGCAATAAATAATTTCAGAGCAGTAAGGTGTTCTTTAAAGACTCCCTCATGTCAAATCTGCTTTTGTTTTCCACAGACTAGTCCAGTAATTGGTTCCTGTGCACCAAGGCAGATGTGTTCCTAAGAGTTTAGGCTGCCAGATTTTATGAAAACTAGATCTGAAAGGTGTACACAGAGTTGGAGTCCTTCAGCATAATTCAAAACTACAGAAATAGCTGAGAAAGATGAATTTGTACAAAGCTGTGTCATCTCATTTCGCTTTTCATGTGATGTATTCACTAATTTGCATTTTTCCTTTGCAAAGAAATCTTTCTTGTGAATCTCCTTGCTCGAACCGAACTCTGAGCTAGGTATGAGACTTCCTACTCAAGCCCCAGCTCCTGACCTCCAGCACTGATCCACCACACGTAAGCTGAGTGTTAATTTGGCCTGTAAAAGCCATACACGTAACTGCTCAAAAACACACTTTCTGGAGTGCCGGGGCTGAGCGCTTGCATTAGAAAGATGTTGCATCTAAAGACACAGGCTGATAAAGATACTCCCCTGAATCTTACCGTCATATACTCCACTTCTTCAGGATGTTCAAAAGCAACGAATTCGTCCACATTTAGATGAGGAACATCATCTCTATTAGCTTTTTCAAAACGCTTTTTCTCCTTTAAATGAAGCTTAGAAAATAGATTTAGTTAGAGTACTTAATGAAAAGGAAAAACAACATCATAGTAGCTGGCTGTGAGCTCATTAGAATATTAATTGTTTCACATTATCTACTCGTGTTCTACTGATGTTACATTTTCGCTAAAAAGAGCTCATCCAGAGCAACAAGAACTGCACTATTAATTGAAGTAGTTTTATTCTATCCAATTTAAGGAGACATTTAAAACACACTCTTAGCCAGGGCTTCAAAAACACAAATGGGAGATAATGAAAAGATCAAGAATTCTTGTCTTTATATCTGCTTCCTCTTCTAAAAGTCACCAATTCCCAAACTAACCTAGTGGAGTACAATGATTATCATTAATGGTAGCCATTGCAAATTCCAGAATTTGCATTTTAAAGGACACTCACCCTTCTGGATCTATATCTCATTTATATTAAGGGCTGTCTGTAGTTCGAAGAAGGTCCTGAAATATCATATATGTAAAATGTCTTTTCTGAAGCCATTTTAAATGCTGAAGGATTAGACAGCTTCCTTCCACAAGACTGTTGCCCATCACATCTCAATGTATTTCAAAGCAAAGTCACTTCTCTAACCCATTTTAATTACAGATATCAGCACACTCTTTAAAACTAAATAATACCCACAAATAATCACTTGAAATTGTACTTCCTAGTTTATACCCTATTGACACTTCTCTCAAAATTAGGCTAACCTGAGTAATACACAGCATAAAATGTCATGAATAAAGTGTAAGATCTTCACTATTTTGCAAAATAATTAACTGTACTCCACAAGAAAAGCTGTCCTTAGCTGAGAGTTTAAACAGGAAGGCAATTCAGAAGGACTGACTACAGTAACTACTGAATTGCAACATAAACTTTAGCTATTCAGGGAAAAAGCCTGGTTTTCAGTGGGTTTTTCTGAGCAGTGATGGACAAGGCTGCCACCTTCTGGTAAATTTATACGTTTACTTGATGTCAATTCTAAATCAATACCATGCTCTATAACCTTTCCATTTTGCTCAGAGCAGGATCACTGACTTCCAAATGTAAGGAAAAGGCTAAAGCTGGCTGACATGTGATGCTTGTACAAATCTGCTGATTTTGCTCTTTACAATATATGCTGAAGAAATCAGCAAGCACGAAAACCTAGGAAGCAGTCGAAGTATAGTATAAGTGAGCAGGAGTTCTAGCTCAGCACAGACATCTTTCATTGCAGTATCTCAAACATGAGATCAATATTCTGACTGGTAGTTCCATCTGAAGTCTTGTTTTATTTATAAGCTATGTAATTATTCAGTGAAGTGACCTCCAAAGCTTTACAGATTGTTTCCTGAGTGTGTAAAATCCCTGCTCCCTTGTCCATTTTAGTTTCACTTCTGCCAACATCCTATATTATCTACTATTACTTTAACTAAATGCAGACAAAGCAATCCTCACAGGGAAAAACCAACCAACCAACCAGCCCCCCCCC